GGGTAGAACATGTATAAAATATACAGTAAGAGAGAGAAAAATAGCAGAGTGAGTGGAGCAAGCGGCAGAAACAAAAAACAAACATTTGGAAGCAGGAAGTAATGATGGATTAGATAAGATTCTTTCCCATACGCCATTACAGAAAACAAAAAAGAATTGCAAAGAGGGGAGGGGGCCACCACAAGAAAGGAGCCAAAACAAAAAAATGAGACTTACACAGGGTCATGAAATAGTAGGTTCTGAATTCTGATTCTTTTCTGAACAGTGTCGCTCCAGCAGCTTGAGACTTGATCACAGTGATGCTTATCCTTAAATAAGAAGGTGGAGTGACTTGTCTTGCATGGAGAGATAAGGACCAAGGTTCTCTACTGGGACCAGAAAGAACTGCAAACAAAGATAATCAAGGAAGAAGAGAGAAAAGAACAAGAAGATATTGGGATGATAAAATGTTATTCCATCACAGTGTTCTTTGTTTTTTTTTTCACTGTTTCCATCAGTCCAAGTATAGGAAGGAAAATACAGTACAAATGGAGTAAAAGTAAAAAAAAAAATCTAAGTAAATTTCTGTACCCCACACATTCACCTAATTACCCAGATTACCCAAAGGCCTAAATCCTACACCAATCCATACACCCTGCGCCCTCAGGCCTTGAGTCCTATTTGCTGTGTAATTCAAATTCTTGTTATGTTACAGCCATTAGTACAGCCCTACTTCTTTACAAGTAAAAGGGTGACAGAAACTAAGATCTGACTATCTACCAATTATAAGCACAACATAACCTGAGAACATTGAGAAAAATAGGTCCAGAATCCTGATATATTGAGTGAAATTCGTCGTCTAATCGTCCAACTTCTCCCATTCATAACGACCGGGAAGTGGCTTGTCTGTGACTGGGTCGTAGTTATACCTGCAGTTAACCGGGAATGTAATACTCCTGATGTGAATTTAGCTCAATCCTCACGATAAGTTTAAAAGGGCGTCGAAAACAATATTGAAAATGAAAAATGTATCACTTACTTCTCAATGAATTTCCTCTGCTGCTCTCCTTCGGCCCAGTTGAAGAAATCGTCAACTTCCTGAGCAGTTGGAACATCTGTTGCAGAGGAGTTCTGCAGCTGTATCCTATCATCAGTGGTACTTGACACCTTCGTAGAAGAGCTCGGCGTTCGTATGCTGTCGGCCTTCCTTATCAAACTACAAGGAGTGGATTCCCTACTGCTCCCCAGTAAAATGAACACTGGTTAGAATTTGATCTAAACAAAAACTACAGACCAATTCATATATGTAAACAAAGCCAGAGGATGGAGGCGGCTATTCTGAGAAATAAATCGTATGTAGTATGTCAACTCATTGAATGCCTCAAATAGGAACAAAAAGACGTGCAGGATGAACAGATTTCAGCTCCTTCAATTTGAAGGACGAACAATGAAATGGTGAACGTTAAAGTTTTTCGGGGGAATCTTCACGTGATTCAATAGAGCCCCACGCTGGATTGGGCAAAAAAAATACAAAAAGGTAGCCATGATGAAGTTAGATAAACGAACGAACAGGAGAATAAAGGTAAAGCAATTCAAAAGGCACAGTCCTTCAAAAGTATTCTTACAGCGTGAGGCGCGTTTAGAAAGATTGCGAAAGTTTTTAGGCATAAAAGGACTATAGAAATCAATATTAGACGCGATTACAGAAATGTGATAAAGACAAATGCTCTTCTCAATTAATGTACAACACGAAAGGACTGGAAGCTACTGAAAAATCAAAATGAAAAAGGGGAAAAAGGGGGAAAAAGGACTTCTCGACATGCTCGAGTTTTGATGGAATTTTCAGTTTTTCGTCCATTTCAATTTCGAGTAAAAAAATGTATGCGTATGAACTTGTACGTCAGGAGAGAGAAGCGTGATAATTTTTGGAAGGGCGAATCAGAGATGATTAATTATGCTTGAAAATGTACTCTCTATTTCCTCGGAACAGATTGATCAACTTGTATGTGACAACACTGTGTTGTGTCAAATTGAAGAGAAAAATGGAAATCTAGCCCCAAAATTATCCAAAAACACATGAATCCTTGTCTTGAAGCATTGAAATGTGAAGAGAAAATGGCGATTCAATAAAAAAGAAATGAACAGAGAGGATGCAAGGAAGAAGAGAAAGGCCTACCTCGTTCTACCTTCAAATTCCAAATTATTTTCTCCAAACGAAGCGTCTTCCTGAGCACCAATATCGAGAATATTCACAATTTCCTGAAAAATTATTTTCTCCAAACGAAGCGTCTTCCTGAGCACCAATATCGAGAATATTCACAATTTCCTGAACCTCACTCTTCTTAACCACAATTTCTTCAACCACCGCCACGGCCGCCGCCGCTTCTTTCACATCGCCATCAACGCGCCGACGCGAGACGGACTCAATAGAACCAGCAGCGACAGAACAAACCCCCAATCTCGAGGAACCTCTGGAATCTACATTAACTCTCCGGCCACGAGCATCAGCACTCCTCTGCGTCAATTTCTGCTTCCTGGACTCATTCGCAACAGCAATACTCATCGGTTTTTGCAGCCGACGACTACGGAGCTGGAGATAAGAGCCAGAGGTGGCCGGAGACGACGACGGCTGGGGAGAATTTGAAACCTTCTGAAGGCGCTGAAGAGCTAGGGTTTTGGCACGAGTTCGAACGCCAATGTAGGAAGAAGATTGAGAGGCGTCGATGAG